GTGCTCAACCACTCGACGAACATCGACGGCCTGCCCACGTTGCTGCAAAAGCTGCTGGACCACGACGACGCCATCACGCGCATCGTGCCGGCGCGCATCCACGCGACGCGCGCGCCGGCGCGCCGCGCCTTCGAGCTGCGCATCACGAACGAGATCCCCGGCGGCTTCAAGTGCCTCGCGCGCGCGAAGAGCTCCGTGCAGGAGGTCTTCATCACGACCCAACTCGACGGCGCTCGCGGCCGCGCTCGACGAGGTCGTGCCGGCCGGAGACAAGCGGCGACGGCGCGACGCCGCGCCGGCACCCGCGCCGCCGCCGCCGCCGCCCGTCGTCCGCGAGCCGACGCCCAGAGGGGGCCGACCACCAGGCATACACCAGCCGGGCATACACCGGCATAGCAGCCGCATAGCAGCCGCATAGCGGACGCATAGCGGACGCATAGCGGACGCATAGCAGCCGCATACCACCCGCATAGCAGGCGCATAGCAGGCGCATAGCAGGCGCATAGCAGGCGCATAGTAGACGCATAGTAGACGCATAGTAGACGCATAGTAGGCGCATAGCAGACGCATAGCAGGCGCATAAGACCAGCATAGCAGGCGCATACCACCAGCATAGCAGCCCGGCGACCGCTGTCGACGACCCCAGGCGACGGCCGCCGGAGGTCGCCGCATAGCAGGCGCATACCACCAGCATAGCAGCCGCATACAACCCGCATACGACCCGCATAAAACCCGCATACCACCGTGACCCGCATACCACCCGCATACCACCCGCATACCACCCGCATACCACCCGCATACCACCCGCATACCACCCGCATACCACCCGCATACGACCAGCATAGCAGCCGCATACCACCCGCATAAAACCCGCATAAAACCCGCATACCACCCGCATAAAACCCGCATAAAACCCGCATAGTAGGCGCATACTACCAGGCATACCGGCGGTCAACCCCCTCGGCCGACGCCCGCGGGCCCGCGGCGCATGCGGCGATGGTACACGCGGCGCTGGCCTAATAAGGCGTAGGGTTACGCGCCGACGGCGTCGAGGGCGGCGATGTCCTTCGCCGACAGGGTGAAGTCGTCGACGTCGATGTCCTCGAGGAAGTGGGCCTTGGACGTCGTCTGGCACGTGTAGGTCGCGCCCTTGGCGAGGATCCACTTGAGCGCGACCTGCTGCGGCGACTTGCCGTAGGGCTTGCCGACGTCGGCGCAGGCCTTCTTCGCCTCGGGCGAGAGGACGCGGAGCGGCGACCAGGCCTGGACGACGATGCCGCGCTTCCGGTTCTCCTCGAGGAGGTACGCGTTCTGCTTCGTCTTGAAGCCGACGCCGAGCGGCAGCTGGTTCACCGTCGGCTTGACGACGCCGTCGAGCGCGAGGACGTAGTCGAGCTGACCCGGCGAGAAGTTGGACAGCGACAGCGATCTCACGGCCTTGTCCTTCTTCATGGCCTCGAGCGCGCGCCACTGGCCGGCGATCGAGTCCGCGTCGCCGCCTACGGAGGGTTTGGGTGTCTTCCCGGGCATGGAAAAACGGACACGCCGGCGGCGCGCCCGGGTAGTCGAGCATGATGTTGTCGAGCGGGCCGACGTCGAGCGCCGCGAGGTTCTCGTCGCAGCCGCGCTTCGACGCCGCGTAGGCGGCGTCGAAGCCCCGCGCCCGGTTGCTCAGCACGCTGCCGCAGACGTAGAGGTCGGAGCGCGGTATGCCGCTCGCGCGCACGGCCTTGCCGAAGCCCCTCTGGTTGCCGGCGAGCACGGACGCGAAGAAGTTGCGGTAGCCGCACTCGAGCGCGAGCATCGTGTACTTGTAGGCCGCGTTGTCGTCGTAGACCTGCAGGCCGAAGGACACGGCGGGGAAGGCCGTGCCGTCGTTGAGCTTGAGCACGGGACCGGCGCCGGCGGCGAGCGCCGGCGCCGAGTGCAGCAGCGGCGCCGCGACGGTGCCGCCGACCGTGCCGCCGACGGTGCGCAGCAGCGCGCGGCGGTCGACGTCGCTCGCGCGCAGGTGGAGCGCGCTTGTCGCGAGCGGCAGCAGCGCGAGCTGCGTCAGCCACACCATATTGCAGGCTCTGAGCTCACGCTGCTCATCTGCTGCTCCTTGAAGTCGCTGATTGCCAGTGCTAACGCGTAGATGATGTCGGCGTCGCGGCGCAGCTACGCGCGCTGCTGCGTACTCTGCTGCGCGTTCGCGTCGGCGTTCCAGGCGCCGAGTAGCCGCTTCCACGCGCTGCCGAGCAGCACGAGCCACGCGCTGCCGAGCAGCCGCTTGAGCAAAGGTCCGCTCCACGCGCCGAGCAGCAAGAGCGGCGCGCTGCAGGCCTCGTCGAGCAGCGCCAACGCCGACGCCATCTCCGACTTTTGCATCGGCACGAACGAGTTCTGGTCGCAGTTCGTCGTCGAGCCCTTCAAGAGCATCGCCGAGATCCGGCCCAAGGGCACGGCGGGCACCGGCTTCTTCGACGTCGTGACCGCGGCTCCCGAGACGCCGCAGGGCATCCCTCGGCCCGTGTGGCTGACGATCCTCGCGTCCGCGCCGTCGGGGCTGATCTGGTACGGCTGGCGCGCATGTCCGCGTTTTCTACGACGGCTAGGCGCGCGAAGAAGACGAAACCTGTTTAGGTACAAGTACTCGGTGGAAGAGGAGCTCTTCCAGTACGAGCTCGCCACCGAGGGCCGAGTGAGCGGCTGCGGCGGCTTCGGCACGCTGCTGCCCTTCGTCTTCGGCGTGATCATCGGCGGGCCGCTGTCGCTGCTCCGCGTGCCCGGCGGCGAGACGCTCGTCGAGGCCGCGGGCGCCTGGATCCTGCTCGGCCAGCTCAACCTCTACCGGCGCGTCAACGAGTTCTACCCCGACGACGAGCCGCCGCCGGCGTCCCGCGACGCCTTCCGAGAGCGTGACCGTCGTCGCCTCCGTAGGCCGCTGCACGCCTGGTGGGCCCTGCTGCCGCCGCCGCTCGACGTCGTCGTCGGCCTGCGCCAGGTCCACTTCCTCAGCGAGTACTGGAAGAAGGAGCGCGGGCTCCCGGCGGGCGGCGACGTCGTCGCCGAGGAGTGGTTCCCCTTCATCGCCGCGCCGCGGTTCACGCTCAAGGAGTTCTTCCGGACGCCGAGCATGTGGTTCTGGTTCACGAAGGACATGGCGGACTTCGCGTACCCGATCCTCCAGGACGACTAGTGATATTTAGGGATCCGGCGGCGGCCGGTCGTCGAGCATGGCGACGTCGAGGGGCGCGTGTCCGGGCCGGCGCTTCTGCGCGTCGCGGAGCGCCGCGGCGCCGTCGGCGCCGACGTGGTTGCCGCCGATCTCGAGCGTCGCGACGGCGCAGCAGTCGAGCGCCGCCGCGAACGCGAACGCGCCGGCGTCGCCGAGGTCGTTCTTCGACACGCCGAGCGTGCGGAGCCGCGGCGCGTCGGCCAGGGCCGCGGCGACGGCGACGGCGCCGTCGTCGCCGACGCCGTTGTCGTGGGCGAAGACCGAGATCGCGCACGTCGCGAGCGCCGCGACGCCCGCGCCGCCGAGGCCGTTGCCGCTCGCGTCGACGAGGTCGAGGCGCAGGGCCCCGATCGCCGCGGCGCCGTCGGGGCCCGCGGCGTTGTTGGCCAGGCGCAGCTCGGCGAGGCCCGGCGGCGCCGCGCGCGCGAGCGCGGCGACGTCGCGCGCGCCGAGGCCGCACGACGACACGTCGAGCGCGCGGAGCCGCGTCCCGAACGCCGCGGCGGCGGCGGCGGCGTCGAGGGCGCCGGGCGCGAGGTGCGCGCAGCGGAGCTCGGCGACGCGGGCGAAGAGCGCCGCGACGCCCGTCGTGACGTTCGCGTTCTCGCTCACGTCGAGCGACCCGAGCGGCCGCTCGGCGACCGCGGCCGCGAGCGCGGCGAGGCCCGCGTCGCCGAAGGCGTTGCGGCAGAGCACGAGGGCCTCGACGCGCGACGCCGGCAGGTCGGCGCAGAGCGCGCCCAGGCCGGCGTCGCCGACGCCCTTGCCCTCGAGCTCGAGGACTCGGAGCGCGGCGCTCCGGAGCGCGCCGCCGCAGAGCGCCGCGCAGCCGCCGTCGCCGAGCGTCGCGTCGCCGGCGTCGAGGCAGCGCACGCTGCTCGACGCGCCGATGGCGTCGCCGAGGGCCCGGGCGCCGGCCTCGCCGATGGCGTGGCCGCTGCAGCGCAGCTCCGTGAGCGACGTCGACCGGCGGATCGCCGCGGCGAGCTTGATGGCCTCGCCGTCGTCGAACTTGCGGTGGCCGAGGATGACGACGCAGGGCGTGCGATTCTCGGCGACGCTCGCGACCAAATCGTCGACGCCGCGCTTCGTCGCAGAGCTGCCCCAGGCGCTCATCGTGGCGTCCTTGCCACACCAGCGTTGGCTCGGCGATGAATCGTGCTGTGGCAGAGCCAATCGCGAGCCGGCCAGCCAGGGCCACGGCCGGAGCCACGAGCCGCCAGGACTCGCGGTTCACGACACGAAAATGAGCGGCGGCCGTGGTGGAAGCGAGCCGACGTGCGGCATGGCCGAGTTTTTGGTCTTCGTGGGCGCCCTCGTCGCCGGGACGGGTTGCTCCCTCTGCAGCAAGGTGCTGCTGTCCATGCAGAGCGTGGGCCTGAGCGGCGAGCTCGAGTCGTTCCAGAACCCGCTGTTCCAGACCTGGGGCATGTTCCTGGGCATGGTCTTCGCGCTGCCGGTGCACTTCCTCATGGAGGCGAACAAGCGGCGCAAGAAGAAGCGCGGCTACGCGACGATCGGCGACGACGCGCCCGAGTTCAAGGAGATCACGGGGTCCACGTACCTCCTCCTGGCGATCCCGGCGCTCTTCGACCTCGCGGCGACGGCGCTCTGCATGTTCGGCCTCACTTACATCGCCGTGTCCGTCTACCAGATGCTCCGCGGCGCGGCGATCGTCTTCGTGGCGATCCTCAAGCACTTCGTCATCAAGGACAAGCTCAGCGGCTTCATGTGGGTCGGCGTCGGCCTCAACGTCGTGTCCATCCTGCTCGTCGGCGCGACGGCGTCGTCGTCGGGCGGGCCCGAGGGCAAGGACCCGCTCGTCGGCGTCGGCCTCATCCTGGCGGGCGCGTTCGTGCAGTCGCTGCAGTACGCGTTCGAGGAGAAGGTCATGTCCGGCGACGTCGGCGCGCCGCCGCTGCTGGTCATCGGCATGGAGGGCTTCTGGGGCTTCTTCGTCTGCACCTTCGTCCTCTACCCGCTCCTCTACGGCCTCGGCGTCGAGGACCCGTTCGACACGTGGGTCATGTTCAGGAACTCGACGGAGATCCAGGGCATGTTCCTCCTCTACTTCGTGTCCATCTTCTTCTACAACATGCTCGCGGTCCTCGTGACCTTCATGCTCAACAGCGTCTGGCACGCGATCCTCGACAACTTCCGGCCCATCACGGTCTGGGTCACGGACCTCTTCCTCTTCTACGCCGTCACGGCGGGCTCCTTCGGCGAGGCCTGGGTCTGGCCCGGGTCCTACATCCAGGTCCTCGCCCTCGCCGTGCTCCTCTACGGCACCGCGGTCTACAACGGGTCCGTCAAGGTCCCGGGCTGCGAGTACCCGCCGGAGCCGTCGCTCGTGCCCGCGTCGCCGCTGCCCGTCGTCCGCGCGTCGCCGTCCCTCCAGGCGTCGTCGCTCCTCAAATCGCCCCTCATCCACGGCACGCCCGGCTCCCGCGGCACGCCCGCGTCGCGCCGCATCCCGCAGACGATCACGGAGCTCCCGGCGAAGCCGGGCGTCTCGCGCACGAACTCCATGTAGGGGAGCCGGGCGCCATCTCCCGTAATCCCCGCGAATCTCTCACCTTAGCCGCGGCGCGCGCTCGGGGAAGTCGGCGAGGCCGGCGAGCTCGTCCCGCACGGCGGCCGCGTCGTCGTCGACGTCGAGCTCGACCTACGCGGGGAAGTCAAAACGTGATCGCGATGCGTCCACGAACCACGACGCCGTGGGAACGCGCCAGCCAGCCGTCGACGACGCACTCGGCGCGGTCGAAGAGGACGCCCGGGTCGTCGATGACGCTCAGATTCCGCGCGGCGACGAGGCCCGCGAGCGGCGACTCGAGCTGCGCGACGCCCAGCGGGCCCTCGACCATGGCGAAGGGCCGCTGGGGCAGCATGATGCTCTCGAGGGCCGCCAGGTCCGCGAAGGCCTTGTCGCGCGTGAGGCCGACCTCCGCCACGGCGTCGGCGGTGATGCCCAGCCGCACGGCCGAGCCGTTGGGCTTGAGCGCGGCCCAGACGCTGCGGCCGGCGCGCAGCATTCGTGCGAAGGTTGCCGGGTTGCTGGGACGCAAGCAACGGTCCTACGCTGCGTCTCGACGCTGCTGGGGCGCCGCGAGGTCCATGCCTTGCTTGTGCAAGCACACTCAGGCCGATGTTGCCTCAATGTTGCCCCCACCAGCTTCCTCCCAAGAGGCCTCCAGCGGCAAGAGATCCCCGGTCGCGCTCTCAGCACGACCCAAGAAGAACAGGAGAGCGCCGTTAGCTGCGGCGCCGCCCGCGCGCGCGCCGCGCGGACGGCCGGCTCCCGGCGACGGCGGCGAGCGACGCCTCGCAAAACGGCCTAGTGGCCATAGCTTGCGTCCCTCACGTAGCGGAGGCCGCAGTATTTGCACTCCGTCGGCTGACTGGGGTCGATCTTGTTCAGGGTGATGTACTCGATCGGGTGCCCGAGCGCGCCGCCGCCGCCGTTGCACGTCGCGAGGTTGCCCTTGACCTTGATCACGGGCACCTGGTCGATGAGCTCCTCCGCGTTGCTCCGGTGCGGGTTCATGTACTGCGAAGGGGGGGCGGGGGCGGTCGCCGCCGGCGGAAAAGCGGCGGGTGGATGGCGGCGGGCGGCGCGCGCGCGCGGGCGGGGGCGCGGCGGGCGGCGCGGGACGCGCACCTGCACGGGGCTTCCGCCCGACGTGCCCATCGTGCGCGCGGTGGCCGCCGCGAACGACGGCCTTAAAGGCCGGGCCGCGGTGCGGAGGAGCAGCATCGAGGCCATTACTAATTGAGGCCTTCGCGCCGATGTTGTGGAGCAGCCCTCGTTGACGTGACGACATCGACGATGGCGCAGCGACTGCGCCGCGGGCAGCCGCAGCCGCAGATACCCCTGGCCGTGCTCGTCTTCGGCTTCGTGCTGCTGTGCCCTTTTGTCTTCCTGCTCGTGCACAACGCGCCGGCGGCGGCGCCGACGCCGCGCGGCGGCCCCTTCGAGCTGCACCGGCCGAGCCGCCCCGAAGCGCCGGCGGCGCCGCGGCCAAAGGGCGCGCGCAGCGCGGCGGACGAGGCGCACGTCGCCTGGAAGCACGGGTCCGTCGCCGCGCTCGCCGCCGAGGAGATCGGCGCCTGGGAGCTCGCCTCCGGCGCGCGGCTCACGGACCACGACGACGGCCCGCGCGCGCCGGCGCCGCCGAAGCACCACAGCATCGCGGCGCTCGCGGCGGAGGCGGCGGCGGCCCGGCGGCGCGAGGCCCTGGAGCCGCCGTCGACGGACGAGATCCCCGCCTTCTACGACGACGGCTCCGGCGCGCCGATCGTCGAGGGCCTCGACCGCTGCGCCGCGTTCCGCGCGGCGACGACGGACGCGCGGCGGCCCGCCGTCGCGGGCCTCTTCAACACGGGCACGAACTTCCTCATGAAGCTGCTGCGGTCCAACTGCGTCCTGCCGCGCGAGTGCGAGGACCGGTCCCACCCGGGCTTCGACCGGGGCGGCAAAAGGGCGCGAACTTCCCAACTTCGCAGGCTCCCATCGCGGCCGTTTTCCACTCGTTTCGGCTGATTCTTGGGCGAGCGATCATCTCTTGGAACGGTCTCGACGCGTCGATGCTTTTTCCGGAACGCGCGCGCGCGGAAGACTCACGTTGAAGCGACGTCGAATCACCCCGTTCCCGCCAGGCTTCGACAAGGCGTCGTTCCTCTCCGAGGCGAACATCGTGTCCGAGCTCCACTACGCGAAGCGCCGCCAGGGCAAGTGCGCGCCCTTCCTCATGCAGGTGCCCTGGGGCAAGCACAACCCCCTCGAGTGGCGCGGGAGCCACTACGCGGACTACTTTGAGGGCGTCGACGTCGACGAGGTGCTGCCCGTCGTCGTCGTCAAGGACCCGCTCACGTGGATGCGGTCCATGTGCCGCATGGAGTACGCGGCCAAGTTCCGCCACGGCCAGGCCCAGTGCTGCCCCCACCCCGTCATGAAGACGGCGACGGACGTCCGGTTCCGCCGCGAGCGGCCCGCCTTCAACTACACGAGCCTGCCCGACTTCTGGTCGAAATGGAACGACGCGTACCACGCGTCGGCGATCCCCCGGCTCATGGTCCGCTACGAGGACCTGCTCTGGCGCACGCGGGAGACCACGAAGCGCGTCTGCGACTGCGTCGGCGGGCGAATGACGGAGACCTTCGACCCCATCGCGCAGTCGGCCAAGGGCGGCGCGGGCCACGGCTTCCACGAGACGGGCCGCAACTCCGCGACGGCCAAGTACGGCAACGAGACGAAGCGCTACGAGTTCCTCACGGACGCCGACGTGACCTACGTCGCCGACCACGCGGACCCGCGCTTCATGGCCCAGTTCCACTACGGCGTCTCCGCGCGGCGGCGCCGCGCCGCGAGCCCGGGCGCCAAGGTCTGCAAGCCCGACCGCAACGTCTGGCTCCACTCCGTCGGCCTCAAGTCGAGCCCCGCGGGGCCCGTGCCCCTCGACGACGAGTCCGACGGCGTCCTCGTCAACGGCTTCTTCTACCCGAACCCGAAGAAGCCGCGGACCGGCAACGTCGGCTCGCGGCTCCGCAACGCCGTCCGCAAGGCCGAGGAGCAGCACGGCGGCGGGCACAAGCCGCCGCCGGTCCACCACCACGAGTGGGCCGTGTAGTTTCTTTCGGCGGCGTACCTAGCGCGGGGTACGTCGGAGGTCGTCGTCCGCAGATCGCAGATCGCCGACTTTCACCACAACGACACGGGACGAGCGAAGAGCGCCAGCTCGAGCCGACGCGATAGCCCCGCGGCCAGCGCCCGAACCGTGGTGCGCTGATCGCGCCCTGCTCCTTCGACATGATCGACATCGAGATAATATCGCCGCGGCGCGGGGAGGAATCGACGGAGGGAGAACGGCGACTTTTTGGGCATCTGTGGCGAAACTCGGGTCAAGGAGTCTGGTGGGACTCGTCTTGCGCGCGACACCTCATCGCCGCACCTAAATTAGGAACGCATTCAGGCGAAACTCTTTTTGCGAATCTTCATGCGCGCGACGCCTCATCGCCGCACCTGGGGCGCCAGCCGCCGGCGATCGCCGCGGCGGTTTTCCCAGACGCAGTGCGTGGAGCTGGGCGCGTGCGTCGTCATTTCCGTCGTCGTCGTCGTGGGCCTCTGCGCCGCGACGTTTCTGGCGGAGCATCCGGCGGCGCCGCCGCCGCGGGCGAAGCGGCTCGGGGGAAATATCGCGCGCTCCGCCGACGTCGTCGATTTGCCGCGCGCCGCCGCGCCCGCGCCGCCGCGCCCCGCGAGCTTCCGCGGCGCGTTCGACGCGGCCGCGAAGGCCGCCGCGCCCGCGCCGCCGCGCCCCGCGAGCTTCCGCGGCGCGTTCGACGCGGCCGCGAAGGCCGAGGCCGCGGCGGCCGCCGCCCGCGCTTCGGCCGCGCAGGCCGCGGCCGCGGCCAAGGCGGAGGACCACGTCGCCTGGCGCCGCGGGTCCGTGCGGGCCGTCGCGGCGGAGCGGGTCGGGGCCTGGGAGACGGAGGGCGCCTTCCCGCCGTTCTACGACGACGGCTCCGGCGCGCCCGTCGTCGACGGCCTCGAGCGATGCGCGGCGTTCCGCGCGCGGACCAGCGACGCGCGGCGGCCGGGGCTCGCGGGCCTCTTCAACACGGGCACGAACCTCATGATGCTCCTGCTCCGCGCGAACTGCGAGCTGCCGCGCGAGTGCCCCGGCCGCGGCCGCGACGGCTACGTGAGCCAGCGCTCGATCGAGCAGGAGATCTACGGCGCCATGCGCAACCGGAATGCCCGGATCTCGGGCTACAAGGACTGCACGCCCTTCCTCTTCCAGGTCGCCCAGGGCAAGCACAACATCATCGACGCCTACGCGAACCACACCGCGAAGATGTACGCCGCGCGGTCCTACCGCGAGGCGCGCGCGGCCGACCCGCTCGAGAACGTGCTGGGGCCCGGGGGCCGGCGCGAGATCCTGCCCGTCGTCGTCGTCAAGGACCCGCTCACGTGGATGAAGAGCATGTGCCGCATGCCCTACGCGGCGAGCTTCCGGAGGGGCCACGCGCAGTGCTGCCCTTCGCCCGTCGCGAAGACGAAGACAACCGTGAACTTCCAGCAGAAGGGCTTTCCGCCGTCGGTCTTCTCGTCGCTCCCGGACTTTTGGAGCCGGTGGAACCGCCTCTACTACGACGCCGAGTTCCCGCGGCTCATGGTGCGCTACGAGGACCTGCTGTGGCGCGGCGAGGCGACGACGCGACGGGTCTGCGAGTGCGTCGGCGGCGCGATGCGCGCGACCTTCGACCCCATCGACCAGGCGGCCAAGTCGGGCTTCTCCCACGGCACGGGCGCCGTCTCGGGCCGCGCGGACGCGCGGTCCAAGTACGCGAACGAGTCGCGGCGCTACGAGTTCCTCGACGACGCGGACCTCGCGTACGCGTCGTCGGAGCTCGACGCGGAGCTCCTGCGCCGCTTCGGCTACGAGGTGTCCCCGGGCCGGCGCCGCGCGCTCCACGCCCGCGCGCCGACGTGCGTCCCGGACGAGGCCGCCTACGAGGCGTCGCGGGGGCTGAAGCGGGACGCGGCGCGGAACAAGCTCGTGCCGCTCGACGACGAGTCCGACGGCGTCATCGTGAACAACCGCTTCTACCCGAACCTGTCGCACGAGGACGAGCACCGCGCCGCGGGGCTCGTGCGCGACAAGACCAAGGGCTACTGGAAGCCCAAGGAGTTCGCGCGCGACGGCATCGAGGTCAACGGGAAGCTCTACAAGTCGACCGGGCCCGTCGCCGGCGGCGCGCGGCAGGCGGCGAAGTTGGAGGCCGTGCCCGTCGCGAAGCCCGAGGACGACGACGACCGCTGGCGCCGCGACCCCGTGGAGGTCGCGCGCCGCGCCGGCGCGCTCGGTCGAAGGACGCTGAAGGGCGGCGACCGCCGGCGCGACCCGCTGGCGATGGCGCGCGAGATCTCGTCCCCGCGCCGGCGGACCGCGCGGAAACGCGGGCGCTAGGCGTCTGCGTGCCGCGCGGAAACGCGGGTGCTAGGCCTGCGTGCCGCGCGCGGAAACGCGGGCGCTAGGCGTGGACCCGCGGCGCGGTAAACCGCTCTCCCAGTGACACTTCACTTGCCACGCGCGGCGCGGTAATTCACACGGACGACTTCTCACTTGCCACGCGCGCCCTCGAGAGCGTCCAGGTGCACAGTGGTGCTGGCGCGCGCCGCCGTCGCGCGCCGACTTTGGCGTTCGCTTGCTTGCGAGAGCTTCGAACGAGCCCCAATCGCGAGGCGCGCAGCGGCAGATCTCGCCGCCGAAGCCCACACGAAGCCCGCGCGACCGACCGGCAGCATGGAGGGCATCGGGCTCGACCTCATGGACGCCAAGGCCCTGCTGGCCAAGGCGAAGCGGCCGGCGGTCAAGGCCGTCCTCAGCACCTTCATTCGGGAGATGACGGCCAAGGAGCTCGAGCTCCTCGGCGCTGCGGACGGCAGCGACGACGAGGCGGAGAACTGCGCGCGCCCCGCGTCCCGGAGCGACGCGCGCGCGCGCGCGACCCCGCGCGGCGCCGCGTCCGAGATCGCGCCCGCAGGCGCGCCCGGCGAGCCCGAGGCGCCCGAGCCCAAGGCGCCGCCGCCGTCCGACAAGTGCGCGGACCTGCTGCCGCCCGCGCCGAAGCGCGCGCCGCCGCCGGCCGCGGCGCCGCCCGCGCCCGCGGCGCCGGCGCCGGCCTTCGAGAAGGCGTCGGAGCCCGCGCTGCCGACGGACGTCGCGTCGCCGGCGCCGACCAAGCTCGTGCGCCCCGCGGCGGCGGCCGCGCCGTCGACGGGCAACGCCAAGGACTGGATCGTGCCCGCCTACGGCTGGGAGCAGGGCGAGTACAACTCGCCCTGGGTCAACATCATGATCTCCATCGACGGCGTCGGCGCGGCGAAGGACCGGTC